AAGGTGTGGTAAGCCAAACTTTGCGCATCACGAGGTTTGAGTCCAGTTGGCCACCGCTCAATCTTGGTCGCAAATTCTCCTTGGAAGAGAGAAGTGCAGAGAAAGTCCACAACGGCGCCAATCTCGCCTCGACAGATAGGGCCGCAGAATAGATGCTTGTTGGCGAGTTGGACAGGCAGATGACAAAGCACATAGCTAAGAATTTCCCAGTCCTTCTCGTGCTGTAAGATGTTTCGAACTAATTCGAGGTAGTCTGAAATAGGAAGCACTTCGTCCTCAGGAACATCAGGATCGTAGGACGTCAACTTTTCACTTGGTCGATCAGCGTCCTCCAAAGAGAAACCCGGAACTTCGCGTACGGCCCACAGCGGAATACGTTGCTTGTGTGGAGGAGAAGGAGGTGGAACACCACCTCCAAGCCGAGAACGACTGCGACTGGTCGTCGAAGGAGACGGCTGGGGCTGGCTACCCCTACCCCTCGTTATACGTCGACCTAAACGTTCGAAAGGATTATTGTTCACCCGTACACGACTTGTCTCAGGTGAGGTAGGGTAGATCGGGGAGTCGGGTTCACTCTGTACACGACCTGGCAAAGTCGTCTCGATAGCACCACGGTGAATGAGGGCGGAGAGAATTGAGACGTGATTGTGAGTGTCACTTCCAATATTGATAAGATAGAGATGATGCTCTCTATCGGCTCTGAGACGCATTAAGACACGGATGCACATCAGCCTAGCCCTCGCTGAGATGTCTGTTCGATCTACCAAAATGGGTGCAGGATGGTTGAGTGTGCGATCAATCGGCATAGCGAGCGTGCAAAAGATCTTGAATATTTGCAATGCCAATTGAATGTTTCGAGGCTCTAAGGATGATGGTGTAAAGACGAGAGAGGAAAATACCCGGGCGAGAGCAGAAATTGCTCCCATTGGTCGAGTGAACACTGGACGGAATGTCTTGGGAGGAGATGGACTTGGACTCGGTCGCTGGGTCCCCTCGGTAGAAGGCGTGGTGACAGATGGGGTCGATGGAGGAGCTCGTCCCGCAAAGCTCGACAGCAATGACAAGAGACCACCACTGCGAACGTCGTTCTCCTGCGGCGACTGAGTGGAACCACTCATATCCGTCTGCCGTCGTGAGAAGGTCGGTGAGACGTGAGGGGTGAAGGTGGCGGAAGCTGGAGGCATCGAGTGGGCGTTGCTTGCAAACATATCTCCCAAGTCGGCAAGATCATTCTCGGCCTCATCCTCTTCGTCCTCCAAAGGATCTCGTTCAACGGCAACAGCGCATAGAAGTTCAATCCCATCATTCACATCCTTCTCTGCTTCCTGCGCAGAAACTGGATCATCGATAGACTCGACAAATTCGAGCTGACGGAGAACCAATTCCTCACCGAGGAGATCCCACAGCGTTCTAGTCATCGGGTTGTAGGGCCGATCTTCAATTCTCGTATGGGCAGCGGTGTTTTGACAGGACTCTCCACCGTGCGTGGCCCGGCAGTAGTCCCACAATACCTTTGCTAGTGGCCGGCGGTACGCCCCGATATCCTTCACATCATTGTAGACATCTTTCAGAGCAGATAACAGTGCGGCAACAGTCCTAGGCTTCTCGTCTGGGCATATAAAACCATCGCTAGTTGGCGAAGCACCGAGCAGGAGCTTCCGCCAATTATCGATCCAGCTAACAGTGACTGGCTCAAGTTCACGTTGAGCCATCATCGCGGCAGGGATTTTTGCAGTATCTGCATCGCTGAGGTGCCCGGAGATGCCCCAGAGGATAGTGCTAAGAGGAGGGCAAAGTCCAGCAGTGTGGTCCCTGGACAGTAACGTGGCAATAATCTGCAGTGACTCTGACGGGGCAGAGCTTGGGTGTGCTAATGGGAGTGTGAATGATGATTCGTTTGTGGAACTATTCAGTCATTAATTAACGCGTTAGAAGATGAACGCGAGAGAAAAACTCACTTGACAACCGTTAACCATTTTGCCAACTCATCCAACGTCCCACCCACCGCAACAGCTTCCTCTGGATCTAATGTAGCCTTGCCGCGTCCGGATCCCTCATCTCTCTCATCCAACTCTGAAAACACGTCCCTTAGCAAGCTCGCGGCTTCCTCCAAAACCCTTTCTCTGCCTCCTTCAATACGCTCCCGCATAGTGGTAACTCCACTAGGCTCCATTCCATTTCCAACGACAACGATAGCCTGAGTATGTTCTGCAGCTTTGAACTGGACCCATCCACGTACACCGTCCCTCATACTCTTACCCAGAGTCCCTGCATCCCAGCCAACAGGTCCAGAAGGATTGCCAGCAGGACTACTAGCCCAAGCTCTGGCGAGCAGTTCTTGCTCCAAATCTGCATCCATGCCTAGACCTGCTGGAGCGCCAGAATATGAATAATTCGTGGCACTTTGTCGGGCCAGGTAAGCTCTCGCCATCCTCGTACTTAAAGACCGTCGAACAAGACTTCTTAATACACGAAAGGCGCCATGAGACCGTTGGATCGCAGCCAGAACGATGAGAGAGGGGGAACGGTCTCGACCACTTAGACCCTTTGCATTGGGAGAGGAGTTACTTCGGGGTGGGTCAATTGCAGGAGTATCTGGAGGGATAGGGGCGGCCAAAGCGGATTTTATCAGCCGATAGACGGCTGGGGTGTATGGACCACCAAGGAGAGTGTGGACTACGTCCATAATTTTGGCCTCCGTGGTGTCTTTATACTGATTGGACCGGTCGTGGACTTGAAGACGCTGCATTGGGTAGCAAGCGTATGACATAGATCTTAAGAAGGGCTCAGACCTATGAATGTAGAGGCGAGGAACACAGAAAACTCACCGGAACAAGACGGGCATGATGTCGTTCAACGAAGCAGGATATAATATTTTGAGCTGATCATGAAGAGCATCAAGATACAACTGGATAGCTTTTTCTTGTGGAGGCTTAAGCTTGAGAGCGTCCGGTGCACGGTCGAAGAAGGATTGACGCGACGGAGAGGTTAGCCCACCTAGATCACTCGTCGTGGACGAGAAGGTGCGAATATGGGATCTATGCCTAGAAGATGGATCTGCCCGAGGAGTTGGTGCAACAGGACGCGTAGGGGGTGGGGCTGCGTCGATGGCGCGATTGACCATAGAAACGTAGAAGTCGAGGAGCTTCGATTGAGTGATATCCTTGAGCTGAGGGTTTTCACGAAGACAGTTGCCTAAGAACGACGCCAGGACATCAATACAATGATCCCGCTCTGCTATTTCGCTGCGTTCAGAAGTAGGTGAGGTGAACGGGTGGTCGGGGCTGGATGCTTGTCTGGCTGAGAGGAACCAGCCGTTAAACGCTTCCTCGATCCAAGAAGTACACCATCTGAGGAAATCTAATTCGACTCCATTGACGTCCCTGCCCTGCCTTGTCAAAGCCTTAAGAGCCTTGTACCTTGCTTCCCAAAGGTCAGGTGCCCAGGCAACAGACTTCTCTTCGAAAAATGTAAAGAACGTCATTCTATCTGCAGTAGAGATGTCTTCGCGGGGCGCCTCTGGGTTCTCCCAATATGCACAGATGATCTCAAATCCTATCGCTTGGAACTGTGGCGGGCAGTCCTGTTTACAAAATTTGAGAAGAAGAGGGATGATGCGCTTGTGAGAAGGAAGTGGGGAGCAATTGGGTAGCGCACTTGCGAGCATTCGGGCCGTCTGGAGACTGGGAACATGGGACGTCAAGTCCTGGATTAGGTCTTCGACTGGAAGCGGATGAGCACTGTTCGGCTGGCTGGATCCAGGTGCTGTAATGCCTGACGAAATGGAGCCGGAGTCGGTGGTGGTTTGAGAAATTCGTGGACGTGTGAGTTGCCAGTTTCCGAGGATGGAGTGCGCTCGATGCCTTGCACGGCTGCTTGTGTGGGAAGAAACATCATCACGCAGCGAGTGAGACATTCATGCACGTCGCTAGGCCAGTCTACGAATATTCTGGTCAATAAGTTGTAGTTAAAAGGTCGAGATGAAAACGATAGGGGAAAACCGGGTACTAGATAGCAAAAAGTTGTTGTACTCAACCGCCAGGTAGGCCCAAGGTCGGCGCAGTGGTCTGCGAGACATTCCGAACGGCTGAGAGGTGTTCGGCGTGCACCAATTCGCCCTTCCAATGATCGAAATACAGAAAAATACAGAAACAGAACTTACAACACGATGAGTTAGAAAATCCCGGCCAAAAACGCGGACCTCAAGTGCTAAAGACAAGAGAGAAACGTTCGCGGTAAAAGTTGTAGGATCTTCGGTGAAATGCTTAGACGGCGTGGCACAGGCAGGTGCTGTAGAATAGAGTATACTGAGTTCGTGGTCGGAGTGGAAAAGCAAGGAGAGAGGAGTAGCACGGCAGGGGAAGGTGCATGTAGGAGGCAAGTCAGCCGACCCCCAAGATGACCTCTCCTGCTTTCGAGAAGGGCCCACTGGCCATCAAATTTGATCCAATCATTCGGGAAAACTCGGTGGCCTCCACTTTCCGCTCGTTTAGCTAGTCAATTCCGAGGAATATGCAAGGAAAATCAAGCTAGACGAGACAAGATAAGAAGCAGAGTGGGCTTATTGCCTGCAAGAAGCAGCACAGACCCCGACTTCGGTGCTCAGGGACAGGCTCAATGAAACAGAGCTCTTCCTGCAATGCTTCTGACCCGCATTCCATCCTCAGATTGACTCATATGTTTACAGTCTACGTGTCTTCCTCAATCAGACATCAGTGTACTGAAAACCCCAGCCCCCCATGACATATACCGTCCGTCCGCCTCTGGATCTTGTCCAAAGTATTTTCGTCCTCGGAACGACTCCCGACCTTCTAGCCATTTACGGGAACATCTATAAGGCTCGGTGTAGATCTTTAGTTATGGTCCTAAACAGTGTAAGTCCATATTTGGCAGGCTGACGTCATGCGAAGCAGCACTCAGTACTAGCCGAAATAATCCGAGCTTTCCCTGCTTGGTTAGTCGTGTCTTTATTAGCAGTTTGTTCTAATCCATTCATCGCTTCCGTTATGGTGTAGTGGCTAACATTATCGCCTCTCATTCCTATCTACCAGATTTGGGACCGCGATAGCCCAGGGTTCGATTCCCTGTAACGGAGTGGGGCAACGATCTGAGTGTTTTTTTTTCGGCCTACCTCCCCAAATATAATTTTTTCAGACAACCTTTAACCAGTGTGGTATAGAATTATTCTCGGATGAAATCGTTCCATGAAAACCCGCACGATAGAACTTGAAGGTACAACAGGCCATGGGCAAATATTCAGGTCTTCTCCAAAATGCTAAAATCTTCAATTCAGGCCGATATATGCATATGAGGACAATGATGGTAGTGCGATCACGAAACTCCGATACTGTATGTCACCTCGATGACCGTAATGAGGTTTCTGACCGCTTTCGGACAATATTGATGATCGGTCGTTGAGCGCCCTTGAGGGCAACTTGACTCTCGGGAATCTCATACTTGGCTCAGATAAAGACCTTCAAAGGCTATATTTTACTATGTTATACAAAGCTATCAAGCTTTTTTTTCCATAAGTTATTAACATTATTAGTATGAACCCTTTTCTCTCAACCTCTCTGCTTGGAGGCGCAAGGCGTTCGGTGAGGGCAAAAAAAATAGCACCAGGCGGATTCATGAGATGGCTAGTGCCAGCATTTCATTCACTTATTGACGTTAAATGATGAATGATAGAGATACTATCTTACCCACAGTTGATTGACTGCTCTCATCCATACTTTTCTTACATCTTACTCTCATCTCAGACTCTAGAATCTCGTATACGTATCCTTGGCCTATTATTTCCTGTTCGACTTGCTCAGTGCTATTGGCAACCTGTTCGACTTCCAAAACCGATTCCAAAATGAATCTTCTATTCTTTCCTTTCCTTGCGACAGAGTCAGGTATAAGCCATGCCTGCTGAAGATCTTATTTCATTCCTCGAAACAGACTTCAAAATTATTTGATTATGGAATAGTCATGTGGGGTATTCTGTACTCAATCATGTGAAACCGCTTGCTCGAGTTATGGCTCATGGGTAGACTAACTGTTCCATAATGTTATATTTGATACACTGAGACTTGAACTCTACTTGATTATGCAATAGAAGAGAAGATTACCTGTCTACAAATCTTATTAAATAGCTCTAAAACCCAACATTCAAACCAAATACTTTCTGTACGCGTGCAACACCATCGCCGCGTTGGACCTCCGACTGGCACAACTTACGCTGTCAAGTATATGCCCACAAATGACAGCCCCTAGAAACAGGAAGTTGAACTTCAATTTCCGGCGTCCACATACAGCATTCATATCACCACTTTCGCAGGTCTTTTTCTCGAGCATGCTGGATTTTCGTCTTTATGTGATACCACGCCGGTAAGCTCTTCACTGCCATTCACAAGCGTAAGGTGTATGCTAACAATATTTCTTTGCTCAATCAACACATCTTGCAGCCATTGGATGCTTTATTTAACACCAAGCGCCGCCCGCAAGTCTAAGGATCCACACTCAGTGCATGAGAAACACATATTTGCTTTCACGGATCCAACAAGCGATGCAATTGAGGGAACAGTACAATGGGGCTACACGAAAGCAAACAGGACAAGAGGAGCATAAGTTAGATGGTGGATACATAAGATCGTCCACGATAAAAGAGTGAGAGGAACAGAGAGAGAGGAATGTATCAATCATTTATTGCAGCCAAATAACTCTATAAACCGAATTAGTAAATGCAAGGTTAACAGTGAAGAATCGCAAAAAACTCACATCTCTATCATTCAGAAAACTAACATAAGCCAAAGAAACCACAACCCAAAACGCAGTGTCAATTCCTAATATCTTCTCTTCCTGCATGTCCATTTCTAACAATCCTGTCTGCGAGCTCATAGAATACACAGGTGTTCTGTCAGTGTACTTGAGCACAGGGATGAGTGGCGGTTGTGACCCAGGCGCTAGTATGGTGGAGGTAGAGTTGGCCGAGATCAACGATGGTCGAGAAGGTGGCTTTGAAGTATCGGGGACAGTTCCACCTCCCACCGTCGTTGGAGCCACGACTACACGGAGCAAAGAAAAAGAATTTCCTTGAGAGACCGCTGCGCTCGTGGTTCGAGTCCACAGTGCCATAGCACGCGAGAAAATGCCAGCGTCAGCGGGAAGGTCAGGCTCTGTTTGGCCCAAAGTAGGTGACAACACGAATTGGGTTATCTGTGAAGGAGGGGGTCGATGTGGTTTCTTTGAATTCGAAGAAGATTGTTGTTCTTCAAGACGCTGGGAGACTTCGGTGGGAGACGGAGGCTGCACGTTGACGCTGAGAGCTGGCGGTGTAGGGGGATAAGAATGTACAGTTGAGGTTGACGAGTTCGGGATGTCTGTGATACTTGTCGGTATTGTAGTTCTGGCTGCAAAACTGAGAGATGCAGAATCTGCCCATGATGCTGAGGGTTTTAAGTGAATAAAGACCTCTGGAGGAAATGTGGGTGCTCTGATTCGAATGTACCACCCTCGTTTAGGTCGATGGATGGACCATAAGACAGTCGATGTAGCATTGTGAACTACATTTTCTACAATCTCTTTTTCGGTGAGATAGCGTTCCTAAAGCGGGATGATAGAATTTAAGCTCCTGAAGTGGAAACAGGATGACGAGACGGGTACACACTTTATACCAAATGACCTGGCCGCTTCGTTCTTCACAGACATTAATTCGCAGGTCTTGGAGAACGTCCGAGCTGAAAAGAGTTTTAACCCAAGCCGGGAGTTGGACGGAATAAAGACCTCTGAACAATGTATCTCTGCATGCCAATGTGGCTCGGAATAGACCATCAAATACAGGCGCCTATGGTTGCAGACTCTGGAACATCCAGCTCAGCAGACTGTTGAATTCGTGGAGAAAAAAAATTACACCGTCGAAGTGAAGGACTCAGTTTTTTCTTGGGCTTACAGAGTCTAACTGATGCTCGAAAACGAAGCCGAGCACATTTTGTTCCTCCGATAGTTCTGAGTTTGCTACGATACGTATTTACTGGAAGTGAAGCTAATTAGGGCATGCATGTGAGAAAGTTGCGATGGTGGTTCGTGTTGAGTAAGATTGAAAGCTACGCGGCTGAAACAATTAATACGGGAGCTCGTAATCCTTTAAATAGCCGTATGCAATACACCGAGAACAGCACAAAACCACGATGATCAGCCTCCGAATGTAGTCGGCTTTACGTCACGGCAACTCCAGATAGTCACCGAAGAGCCCTTGACGGGACGGACTTAGAGGAATGTGGAGGAGTACCCTGCCGGATTGTACAACAGTGGTGGGATATTTATGAGAATAAGGGTCATAAGAGGCGAAGGGACAGCCATGGGGAAGCAAGGAGGAACGAGGATGTTGGTAGGTTTCCAGCCAAGCATCACGATGCATTTCCAACCTCAAAGAGGTGGTCCCATTTGGCGAATCCTTTTAACTTCAAGGATTGACTTCGATGACGTTGCAGCGTTATGCTTTGTCTCAATCTTGCTTGAAATTTTACTGTACCATCAGCCGCCGAAAGTGAGATATTTGGGGTAACGGACGGGATTTTAAGTAGGTGTAAGTAGTAAAGTGGCAAGCAAGTCCCTGAGATCGAAGAGATGACAGTCGCGTCCAAATCTGCCACCGGCAACCTCCCAGCTGGAGTCGTTCATGTCCCACGATTTCGGTCCCACACGAACCTTCCTCTCTTTACAATTCTAACCAAATCTCGGTGATCCTGATGGTCTTGAATGGCGTGAGAAATTTCTTTGCGCAGGGACCATAAGGCATTCGTGTCGGTCTCCATTCCAAAGGCCACTACGCCTGATACTCCCTGCCTAATTATCAAGAGCACCCTCTTCTTGTGGACTACTCTTTTGACATATCTGAATCACGAAACCGCCCACTGTCATGCTTCTTGCATGGTTGTCTGTGGACGTCGAGAAGGCGTGACCCTACGTATTCCGTTGCGGGGCGGGTGCGTTTTAGCCTTTTACTTATAAGACGGAGCGTGGGCTCAAGGCCACCCCCCGCCGCAAGATGGGTGCCTTTGATTTGACTGTCGGTGCGTGCAGCATTCTTCGCCTTGGTTGGCCTCCACCTCACCCTCAACAGGGGCGGTACTGCTCGGGGCATCTTTCAAGTGAGCTAGCACATTTGGACAATCACTGCTGCGACTAATCGTGAGCGTAGCATGTACCTTTATGGATTCGTTTCCTACCAATACCTGGCCTACAAAACTACGAAATTCAATGATCCGATTTGGCTTCGGTAAGTCTGCAACCTCCTGGCCAAAAAAAAAAAGTTTCCCATATGCAAACAGGGCTATTGTCGCGGTCTTATTTGTGATCGATACTACTCAGACAATCGTTGAACTTCATGTTGCTTGGTTCTTGGCGTAAGCAGCACTTGATCACGACACTGGAATTTTGCTCTAGCCTTGCTTACTTGTCGGTTTTTAGGGTTGAAAACTATGCAAACCCGAGCGTATTAGCCAGTTAGTGTTGTGTTCGCTGGTTTATCCAACTATATACTAAAATGATGACAGGATCTCTCTGGGGAATGTCCTTCTGTAGTAGCGCAACCACCATCTCTGCTCTAATCGTCCAAGCATTCTTGATAACTCGGTGCGGGTCTTCATGTCATCCGTATATCTTCTTTCTTACCTGTCCCTCAGCCTTGGCCGACTTACAAGGCAGTACTGGCTCTGTATTTTTCTCATACTAGTTGGCCTTGCTGCGTGCGTGATTGGCATAACTGGCAGTATCCAGGCTGGCCTTCTAGCTGAGTAAGTTTTTAATTCTCAAACGCTGTTAGGTTCTCATTTGTTTCTAGTGTCACCAAATTTAATACCCTCATCCCTCAAGCAACAGCTTGGCTATCTATGGAAGCTAGCGTTGATATTCTCATTACAGGTACGCAATATTTCATCTATTCTTTCATTATTTACCCTCTAATGCTCCCAAGCAATCCTTAGTAGAGCACTTTGGCGAAGCAAGACAGGGTTTGCAAGGACGAATACCATTGTAAATCGATGCATCCGGGCCGCAATTCAATCAGGTCTCTTTTCCTCCATATGTGCCATTCTGAATCTTTTGGCATTC